CGTTTGGGGATACCACCCAACCTGACAGTTAGTAATCTACTGTTCAGTTTTCTGGATTTGTACCTTAAGCGAAGGCTAGTTTAAGAGTTGGTAAATAAATTGGAATATGTACCTTAAACTAATGACCTAGCTTACGAGTTGGTTAGAAGTACCTTGAACTAGAATTAGTTTAAGAGTTGGTAATCATCAAAGGTTTGGCCTTAGACTAAGCCTAGTTAAGGATCTTGTTGAGTATTGAATGTTGAATATTAAACAATTGAAAATATCATGAATGAATTATATATTGTGTGCATGATATCAAATGGTTGTTTGTGAACTGAGATTCAATTTATGTGGATGTTCGACGCTTTAGATATGCTTACTCAGCTTCATCGCTGAGCGTGTAGTATGTTTTATTTGCTACACGCAGGTAGACTGAATGAATGATTGGCTTGTTCCTGGCAGCACAAGGGGCGAGATTGTCGTGGTGAAATTTGTGATTTTAAATAAATAATTATGTTGTTATTAAACATGGTTTAAATTGCTTCCGCATTATTGTTAAACACTCTGCATTTTGCTACAATTATGTACTAAATAATATTTATGATGAATAAAAGTATTTGAAACGTTTTAAATTTATGATTTCCAAAGTTAATACTTTAGTCTGAAAGGGGCTGCAGACCTGGACGGATTAGGGTGTTACAAGCACACTCGCCTATGTTGATTGACACCATCACGTTGTTTGGGCTTGTCGATGTGGTCAAGACGGAGCACCTGATTTCGCCAAGAGCAACTACATATGTTCTGCGCCCCGTCTCATCTTTCCATCACTTTGCTCCAAGATCCAAGATGGTGAAAGATTCAAAGGGTAGACTACTCCTTTGGTTCAGCATTCTTTCTCCGGTCCTAAAGCACGAGTGGGACCCTCCACCTTGAGGACGATGTGGATTTTAAGGGGGTGGGAATGATACGGATAGTTTATTAGAATATTTCAATTAGCTATATAATTATTTAGTACTCCCTCCGTTTGGAAAAACACTTCCCATTTGGATTTGGGGCAAAAATAAGGAAGTGTTAAATTATAGTTGGTTTCCAATTTTGCCTCTGATGTGATAGGTAAAAGTAAGATATGATGAATAGATTATTAGAGAAAAGGTATGATGTGATAGGTAGGGTATGAAAAAGTAAGGGTAAAAGTGGTTTTTTAATAGAAAAGGGAAGTGTTTTGTTGGAAATGGAAAAAATGAAAGAGGGAGTGTTTTCGAGAACGGAGGGAGTAGTTATTTATTATTATTTATTAATATTCTATAGATTAGGGTTTTTAGTATGGGGCCCAAGCCTATTAGGTTAATTAGAGTTTCTCGTATCTCTATATATTGTACTCTCGTATTATTATTATGGAATCAATCAATAATCAAGAATTCTCTTAATAATCTCTCGTCTCTCTTTTCTTGGAGCCCGAAAACGCTCGAAGTTTTCCTTCTCTCTTTGCCTCCCCTTTCTTGGAGCCCAAAGACGCTCGAAGTTCTTCCCTATCCTGATACGAATTGTACAAGATTCGTATCAACTCCGTCCATCCCTTATCAAAAAGGGTTCTTAGTTTGACCTAGTGTAAAGATATGGAAATATAAGATTCTAGTTGACTCTTAATTTTTTTTCTTTGATGTGATACATAGATTATTAGAGAAAAAATATGATGTGATAGGTAAGATATAAAAAAATAAGGGTAAAAGCAATTTTTGAATAAAAATTAGAAGTGTTTTTATAAAAAGGAGAAATAGTGTTTTTGAGAACGGAGAGACCGGAGTATATAACACCATGCAACCGAATGAATGAGGCCGGGATTTACTTACGAGAGAAGGTGAGAACGACCAAGATGCCGATGGCAACCGTTCCATAATATCCGGTGGCCATCACCGTCTTGAGAGTGTGGGAGTGGAACATGGCTGCGGAAACGGCTGTGCATAACAAAATCTGAGCAAAAACGATGGCGTAAACCTTGCGAATGAAGCCCCAGCGCATCTGCCCGGTCTCCCCTGGGAACAACCTGTTCGTCATTGAAAATCGTTTCCTCAGATTATTCATCATCATCATCATATATATGTCCTTTTGGGATTATATTTCTTAGCTAGGTTTTGTGTGAATATTTATTTTTCTGTTTTGTGTTTAAAAGCCTGGGATATGATATATGAAAAGCATCATATTTATATATACACAGTCCCGTCGGAGTTGAAGTGGAGAAAGAACTACCAAGTCTTTACTCTACTGAAACCATGCAACCAAAATGAGTGCCCAAACATTTTTTTTTTCCATCTTCTTTTCTTTTCCAAAACTAATTAAAAGCAGCTTACAAATTTACGGCGTCTACTAATTAAGACCGACAGACAACACCGGTTCAAGTCTAGTACGTGTATCTAGACTTAGATGCACCTAGCGATCGAATGTTTAGAATAATTTTTATTCTAAATTTATCATGCAGCATGACTTGCGGTACATCCGGCTTTAAGACCCCATTAATTAAACTTTAATCTTTATTCAAAAGTTGTTTGCGTGGTTATAATTAAGAAGCATGTATGAAATGTAGACTTAAAAAGTTGTTTGTGTCGGTGTAATTCAAAACTATATTCAAATAATATTACTCCCTCCGTCCCAAAATATTTGCAACATTTGTTTCTTCATCAACCGTCGCAGGAACTTTCGTTTATTTCTACGTTTTCATTGGTTATTTGATAAAATAAAAATATTCTTGACACCTCTTATTTCGAAGAACTTTTCATGTAGTTTTTTTAAAAAACTTTAGGGACGGAGGGAGTATAAGAATACTGTTGGCGTGAGATATTAGAAGAAGGAAACCGAATCCCGTTGGGATTCGGTTTAGTATCTTTCCTAGTTTGTTTAGTTCTTGTTTTAGTAGGAATAGAATTATGATAGAAATAGAAATTTACTTATTTGATTTACTTAGAGCTGACAAATCGGTCGGTCAGGTCAGGTTCGGGTTCGGTCACTTCAAGTTCGGATTATTTCGGGTTCGGGTCAATTGGGTTCGCGTTGAGAACTGTATGTTCATGACCCAGTGTCATCGGGTTCGGGTCGACCCAACGGGTTATGACTTTGGTTTTTTAAATTTTTAAAATCACATTAACACTTACATTTTCTATTAAATAAATTTAAAATATAAAAAAAGTATTAAATCTATAAAATTATTTTATTTTAAACTCTAAAGTAGTTTTTAGATATATAAATCAATATAAGGAATTTAAAAATGCTTAAGTTTTGGAAAAAAGTAAGATAAGTATGCAATATCATTAAAATTTTGTTTGAAAATATAAATTTATACACTAAAAACGAGTAAAAAAGTGTATAATTTTGAAAAATTTACTTTAGCGGGTCGGTCAGGTCGGGTTCGGTCGGATTCGACCCATTTTTTAGCGGGTAATTTCGGGTTCGGTCAACTTCGGGTTCGGTCATCAAAACCTTTGTTCAAAACCCAGTGTTTTCAGGTCGGGTTTCGGATCAAAGACAGGTCATGTCACTTTTTGCCAGGTGTAGATTTACTCTCTTCCTATATAAAGAGAGTTAGACCTTTGTAATCTTCAAGACAATTCAATACAGAAATATATGACCCCTTTATTATTTTCTATAAATACCATTGTACAACCTATGTTTTAACATTTGTATCACCAAAATTGGAGGCACCCATTGCATTCAGACCATCAATCACCAAATTGCCATGATTTCCTCATAGCGTACAATTTGACCGAACGCCCCTACACAAATAAAAAGTTAAAATTAATATTAATCTTTATCGAATGAACACGTACTATAAATAGAAATGGGAGTTAACTATTTACTTTTTTTATAAAAAAAAATTCGGAGTAAAAAAACATGAATATATGGAATATATTTCATCACATACTTGTGGTCCTCCAATGTAACTTCCATCATTTGCTCTAGCTAGAGCATGGTTTACCATACAGTTTCAGGCGGGATTCGACTAATAACTTTCCCAATTATATAAGCGTAATATAAATGTGCAAGTATTTGTCTTATAAAAATGTAAATGAGTTTACCAACTAAAAGGACAATGTTAACAAAACCCGTTTTGTGAAGGTCTACAAAACCCTTAAAGTTATACCAGAAATTAGGAAATCCATTTACTGCTTTAGAACGTTGGTCTTGCCAGAGAATTGCAGCATGCAAGGGTGATTGGTAGTTTTGTGGTTTGGTAATTGCATAATATTTTGGCCCTCATCACTAAATAAATAGTATTTTCTTTCAAAACTTGATCGAAATTAAAGTGTGTATATTCAAATCTCTGATCTAAGCATGGATTCGATTGCTCTAACAACAAATGGAAAAAGTTTACATAAAAATAATTTCAAAGTTTTTTTAAGATTATATTTAAGATTTATATTAATTTAGAACTAACCTCTGAGTCGTGAAAAATAACATCCAATGATTCCGGCCCCCGAGCATGGGCAGAAATGCGATAAACTCTAATTGCTTTCTGTTTCATCATCAATAGCGATGACCTCTCATCAACATTTCTCAAAGCGGTTAAGATCTGCATGTTTCGTAGGAATGACGGATTTGAAAACGCACAAAAAACACACGATGAATAAAGTGACTACGAAGGGTTTACAAATGTCTCTATTTACATGATGAAAAGTTTTTTTGCATATTATAATATCAACGAAAGTTTTAATTACCTGTTTTAAGGTCGTTGAAATTTCTTAAATGTATCTTCAAATTTCTAATATCGTGTACATTCCATAAGGAAATAGTACCTGATTTCTAATACCGCATACATTCTAAAAGGTACTCCATTCGGCCGAAAATTTCCTTTAGTTTATCATTCTATTATTCTTAAAAGTATTTTCTTTTAAGAATAGAGTGATTAAGTATATAATTACCTATTTAATTAGGAATAAATAATTACTTTTTGATAAAATAATCAGGCGTAAATTATTCCAAGTAATTATAATAATAATAGTAATAATTAGGCGTAAATAATTACCTATTTAAAAAGGAGACAAAATATAAAAAATATCCCTGTCCCTTCCTATTTTCGTATGGGTAGCTTTCCTATTTTCGTAAAAGGAAACGAAATAAATATATGAATTATTGCAAAATAAGTATAATTGGTAGCTTTCCTTTTTTCCTCCAAATCAATACTCCCTCCGTCCCAAAAAGATTTACACGTTTCAAAAAAATTGTGTCCCACAATCATTTACCCATTTCTATTAAAAAACCACTTTTACCCTTTACTTTTTCAAACCCTACCTATCACATCATACCTTTTTCCTAATAATCTACACATCACATCCTACTTTTACCCATCACATCAAGGGTATTTTTGGAAAGTCAACACAAAATTATCCCTCCCTTAATTTCAACTTTAGTCAAAATGGGTAATACTTTATGGGACGGAGGGAGTATATGAATTTTATACTGTGTATTTATTTAATATATGCACGGGATTTCCTTTTCTGTAATCACTTAATTCCTTAAATACCTTTCTTGTGTTTCCCTTTTTAAGAATACGATACTTATGCATTCTTACAATATTGTATAAATGTGTTTCCAAATAATTAATACTTTTTTTCGTTACAAATTATTAATTATTTTCATTTTTTTCGTTACAAATTATTAATTACTCGTATTTTTTACCAAGGCATCTAACACGTTAAATCTAAATTATTAATAATTTCCGTTTTATACTTTTATTTATTAAATATACTCGGATTCTTTTTTTTAATCTAACCAATCAGTTCCCTGGGAATAAATTAATTTTTTCCGTTACAATTATTATTAATTAGTAATTTATAATAAATAAATATACGAATTATTGCAAAATAAATATAATTGGTAGCTTTCCTTTTTTCCTCCAAATCAATAATAAATATACGAATTTTATACTGTGTATTTATTTAATATATGCACGAGATTTCCTTTTTTGTAATCACTTAATTCCTTAAATACCTTTCTTTTGTTTCCCTTTTTAAGAATACGATACTTATGCATTCCAAAAAATGAAACTATCTAATTATAATAATGTATACATGTGTTTCTTTTTAAAGCTTTTTTATGCGATATATATTTAATACGTATGAATTATCTTACAATATTGTATAAATGTGTTTCCAAATAATTAATACTTTTTTTCGTTACAAATTATTAATTATTTTTATTTTTTTCATTACAAATTACGGAGTATTAATTATTTTTTACCAAGGCATCTAACACGTTAAATATAAATTATTAATAATTTTCGTGAGAATAAATTAATTTTTTCTGTTACAATTATTATTAATTAGTAATTTAGATATAAAATTTTGTAATTATGTTAATATCGTATATAAATGTGATTCCTTTTAAAGCCTTTTTTGTTGTACTTATTTAATACTTATTTCCTTTTTTTCTCCTTTTCATCCGCAGTAAATATGGGCCGTAGATGCATAGATTGGCAAATATCAATGGCTCATAAGGCTTGGCAAATGGGCGGGAAAAAGCATGGGGCATAATTCCCCTGCTTTTAAGAATAGGTTGATTGATGATTTGTTGTACTTATTTAATACTTATTTCCTTTTTTTCTCCTTTTCATCCGCAGTAAATATCGGCCGTAGATGCATAGATTGGCAAATATCAATGGCTCATAAGGCTTGACAAATGGACGGGAAAAAGCATGGGGCATAATTCCTCTGCTTTTAAGAATAGGTTGATATGGAAAGTTTTTTAATGCTCATATAAAAACAGTAATTTTTAATAAAAATGGAAACATATTCCCCTTTACCATTAATTATTAATCAATAGATTCCAAAATTATCATAGCAACACTTACCAATAACTGGCGTAGCATTTAAATAAAAACAGAAACATATTCACTTTTTTGAATTACTGTTTTCGGTGTTATTAAAAAACATATTAATGTATCTAAATAAAAATAAAAACATTTTAAATGCTCATACGAAAACATAATTTTTTTAAATAAAAATAGAAATATATTCCCACTTATCTCTTACCATTAATTGACATAGCATTTAAATAAAAATAGAAACATATTCCCCTTTCCACCTTACTATTTCGTTGTTAATAAAAAACGTATTGATGTATTTAAATAAAAATGGAAATATTTTTACTGCTCATACGAAATTCTCCATTGCCATTAATTATTCATTAATCACTACGTATTAGTTAATACTTCTGTTAGAATTTTAATTTGACACATAGCGGGACAACCTTGGACGTAAATTTGGTAGGGTCTACAAAATTATTTTTTTCAAAATAATTATGGAGAATATTATTCTAAGTGAGACGAGTCTTCGATATATTGTGCGCCAAAATTGGTACTCGGGTGAATGAGAAATTAATTCACAAAGTTGCTCACTTGGAAGGAGGAAAATCAACATATCACACATCGGATTGGAAACCCTTCAACTTCCTTCATTTATATGCTAGTCTGTAATAACATTGTAAGAGCAATTTATGGAGGGAGCACCAAGGGAGCCCTCGCGCACCGCCGCCGCCACCGTCCGGCTCGGCACCACACGCACGCGCGACGCGTCGGGACGTGGTGACGGTGTGGGCTAAACTATCTTTTTACGAGATCGAATCGAACACGCGTGGACACTTCGTTAATAACAAAGTGTCACTAAAGCATGCATTCACAAGGGAGGCGAAGGGTGAGAAGTCACCTGTAACGCCTCGTAATGTCCGCCGGTCCACTTGAAGAGCCAACTTCCATCCTATAAAAGGGGGGGCTTGGCTGCAGGGAAGAACACACTCAAAAAACTCTCGAAAAGTTCCCTCCGTTCCAGCCTAACTCTTCCGTCATTCTTGTTCGTCGGCACAAGTTTCTACCGCTCTAGTTCTTGTGCGTTAGCAGTTTTATCCTGTGAGGAGATCGTCCACGTTGTTGCCAGTACCGGAGGCGGGCGATACTACCTTAAGAAAAGCTTCGGCGACTCCGCTTTCCTTCTCTGTTCGTTTTCCGATCACCGACGACTTATTCAATTTTTTTATTTTCGTTGTAAAATCCGAACATGTTATAACTTATAAGTTCGGATTATTTTTTTATTCATTCCCGTTGTAATTTGTAACAACTTCTATGAAATTCCCTATTTTTAATGCTCATACAAAGTTCCCCTTAAATTTAATGCATATACATATAATTAGTAAAACGCACAACATTTCCATATATTACTCTTACATATGGGCAGGAAAAAATTTCCCTCTTTTTTAAATATAGTATAGATTTTAAGACATCGAATCTTCTCCCCCTTCAATCAGAGCCCTCCAATATATTAAGAATAGCCAAGAAAAGGTTGATGATATCCATAAACAGACAAGAAGCTGCAGCAATATATTCGTCATAGCTGAATCGCTTGATCAAATTATCGGTATCATATATGATGAACCCCGAAAAGACGAGCGCCCCCAAACACCCGTATATCAACTGCCCAATGCTCCCCATATGAACAAACATCTGCACAATAATTATCCAAATGTCATATACAACTCAAGTTAGTGTTTGGAGAGAAAAAGATCCGGTTGGGAACGGGTAGTTCGGTCTCGTTAATTAACACGCCATTGATGCAGAACAAGGTACCCACATGTCCATTAACAATGCTCGCTCAACAACACGTAAAGAAACGTGGGAGTGTTGATTATATATAAATGCATACCCTGATGAGACCAAAGATGAGGAGCACCATGAGAGCACAGATCAAGAAGGGGGCAAGAAAGGAGAAATCAGAGCCTCTCTTGGCAGCCCAGAATGTGTACAAGGTAAGAGCAACAAACACGACTGCGGTCACACCCGCAGCTATCATAATTGGCATTCCTATATGTGAATGACAAAGAAAGAACATAACAAACAATTAAGAATGGCATGAATCAACCCCAATAATGACTACTTGTGGCAACTAATCCCATGTTATTAACTCACAATAGGACTATAAATCACAACATCATAAATGGTGGCTTTGGTTTGCATTATCAATGGGTATTACATTGGCAACCAATTAAGTTCATATATGAATTTAAAAAAATAATCTCAAGAGAGTATATTTGCACCTTTTTTGTAAGTGCACACCACTCCAATCATGAAAGCCATTGAGACAGTAAAGAGCCCCAAAAGAACATAGTTCCATGGATGTTTCTGGCTGCAGAATCCCATTGCTATGCTTACTGTCATTTTGCCATCGTACATGCACAAAAAATTTAAAACTTGTTAGTATGATATTGTTGGTTTTGAACTAAGTTCTTGGAAAATGTTATTCTAAACCTTCAAGAATCCCTTGGAAAGTCATATATGAACATCTGTGGATACCAATTCAAAACGATGGGATTGAAACAAAGGAAAATCATTGGTGAAAACTAAAAATGACAAACACAATATGTGCATTTTTTTTCTCAGTAAAATTCCGTAAGATTTGCTCACGAATGAAGGTGAGGATGACTAAGACAATGAGGGCAATCAGCCCGTTGGTGGTAGCCATGAACGTCTTGACGGCGGGCGTGAAGAACATGGCGGCGGAAACGGCGGTGCAGATGAAGAGTTGGGCGAAAACGATGACGTAAACCTTGCGGATGAAGGCCCAACGCATCTGCGGGTTCTCCATCATCCCAGGGTACAATCCGCCGCCGCCATTCTTCCCGCCAGCCTCGATGTCATTTCCCTTGACGGCGTAGCCGGCCATCATTTCCGCTGAAAATGGTTTCAGATTCTTAGGGATTTATTCAAATCTTAGGTTTTGTGTGTGGGCAATTTCGGTTTCTCTGCGCGTAATTGGGGATTGAATTGTGATGTATATATATATATATACATATACATATATATATATATATATATATATATATATATATATATATATATATATATATATATATCAACCCCTGCAGGATAGAGCGGGATGAGGGGGTGATATATACGCTTGCAGAGAAAATATTAAGATGGATAAATGAAGAAGAAGAAGAAGAAAAAGAATAAATTTGTTGAAAGAGTTTCCTGCGGTTCGAAGAAATTTGTTACGCGTATTGCGACGCTCCCCGGAAAAATCGGATGCAGAGTACAGGTTTTCAAAGCGGCCGGACTACAGGCCCCCTTGAACAGGAGAGTGTTATCTCTAGACGGGCCAAAAAATGATCCGACATGTTTTTGACCCGAGACCTGACCTGAAAATATTGAGTTTTGAACAAAGGTATTGCTGACTGAGCCCGAAGTTGACTGAACCCAAAATTACCCGTTAAAAATGCGTCAAATCCGACCGAACTCGAACCCGACCTGATCGACCCGCTAATTTAAAAATTTTTCCAAATTATATGAATTAATATGTAATATAATGCTATAAAATTAAGATTTTAATTATATTTCTTTGCTTACTACTCGTTATTAATGTACAGATTTATATTTTTCATACAAAATTTTAATGATATCGCATAGGGTCATGAACATGTAGCTCTCAACCTGAACCCAAACTTACCCGAACCCGAAGTAACCTGAACCCAAGGTGATCGAACCTGAACCCGACCTGACCGACCGTTTTGCCAGCTCTAGTCATCTCACATCGAAAGTTCAAGAGTAAAATAATCGGTATATAAGTTCTTGAGTTGAACTAACTAATCGATTAGATTCAATCTTTTAATGTGGTTCAGCCCAAGTGTCTTATTGCTCAATCCAGTTGTCCGTATGAATAATGTACCCAACGGCACGTGGCCCGTTTAACACGATTGCTCGTCTGAAGTCCATACCCAGCGGTTCGTAGTCCTTTAAAGTGTTGGCGCTCAAAAAAATCAAGGAAATGAGAGTTTATTTGTATGTGATTTAACTTAAGTATCCTATAACAATTAACAAATGGGTGCCGATGTGAACGGCAGTAAGTGTTAGGAGGAGTAGAAACAGTCAATTTTTTGGACGGATCATCATAGTCATTGTTGTTTTCATATTATGACCATAACTTTTAATGTTAAAAAGAAGGCTACCAATAACAAATTTGTTTTTATTACAATATGTAGTGACATTATTGATTAATTAACGATAAAAATTTATCTGATTTAAGGGGAAAAAATTAAACTAAAAGAATGCTTGAGATGGAAGCAATATATTTTAAAAATGTAAGAGTTGCAGATATTATATGTGCATGTGAATGCATAATTAAATTAAGAGAGCTAGCTTTTTCCCTCATTTCTACATTGTATTTACTTCTTTTATTATATTTTTGATATGATTTGATAATAAAAATAATTTTTAGATTTAGAATATAAATTAATTTTTAAAAAGTTTTAAACATGTAATTTCTTTAATAACTACAGTAATTTAAAAAATTGTAAATATTTAATTAACTCAATGGTTAAAAAATGTCTATTTAGGGTCTGTTTGGGAATAGCGTTAGAGATTAGTGTTAGCGTTGTGGATAAACTTTTAACGGTGTAGATTACTTTGAAAACGCTGCCCGTAGATAGACTTTTCAAAACGCTAACGCTAATCGCTAACGCTTTTCCCAAACAGACCCTTATTTTCTCTAGAGAGAGTAAAGGTTTGATTTTTTAGAGTATATCATTAATTAAAAATGGATGTGAAAAATTATAGATAGTATTTTTATTTATAAATTTAATCAATTTTTAACGTATCAATGTTAATTTGTTATACACATCAGTGATAATATTTTGGTTTGAAAGCTATAAATAGGTATATAAAAAAAGAGGCTTCAAACTCTAAGAACTTGACATATAGCGACTCCAAGAACTTGACACATGGTGTTTCTAACATGACATCTATTTTCTCTTTTACTATACAAAGCGTTAACCATACACATTCTATTTTATTAAAAATCATGTCAAGTCAAACTACAAAAAACACTAGATGAAGCACGTAACAAGAATTATCTCAATGTGTGGAAAGATAAATCCACTCTTTGCGGGAGGGTTTATATTTCTTTAAGTTCAACTAACCTGGTCATGAATAACAAAAGACGAAATGAAGAGGTATTTCTTTTATTTACCTCCTTAAAAAGTGGGTGTTACCTTTATTAAAAATGTTGAATTCCAATAAAGAAAAAGTATAGAGAGTATTTGAAAAGTTAAATTTGGAGTATTGGCACATCTTCAAGTTGGAATGACATTTACTTTTCTACTCCCTCCGTTTCTTAAAACTCTTCTTCTTTCATTTTTTTGTTTTTCTTAAAACACCACCCCTTTCTATTAAAAAATCACTTTTACCCCTACTTTTTCATACCCTACCTATCACATCATACTTTTTCACTAACAATTAAATTATCACATCTTACTTTTATCCATCACATCAAGGGCAAAATTGGAAAATCAACTTTAACTTAACACTTCTTTATTTTCCCCCAAATTCAAAAGAGGAACTATTTTGAGAAACGGAAGTAGTATTTACCTTGGCTTTGGGAATGCAAAAATATATATAAAAAAAGAGAATACAATTTTAGATAATCATTGATAGAAAATAAATTAGACACAATTGCAAAAGGCGAATCCTGTATCTGGTAATTGCAGATGTCATGTGCTTAGCATAACTGTCCACCAGACAATTATTAAAAATGTCGAATATCACTTTTATATTTATTGTCTTGGGGATAATTAAGTCTTTTCAAGAATATGTCCTGATTTTGACTTTGATCTCGGCATTCATTGTCAATTTGTCGCGACGAAGAATATTAAGGAGAAATCCATTAAATGCTCAGCTGAATACAAAATTCATTCATTTCAGCGTTAGAATTTCAGGCTGTGAAAAAAGATAAAATATGGGTTCAGTCGGAAAGGTACTAATCGTTCCTGTACAAAATTCAATCGGGTCTTATCTTCTTTTGAGCAATTTTGGTGAATTCTAACCATGTAACCCTTCAAACTGAGTTATTTCGATTTTTAAAGGCTTAGATTGCTGATCGGGAGTTTATTGCTTTGATCTCTGATAAAAGCTAGGGTTTTGATGTTTCTGTTTCGAATTCTTCTGGGTTTTGAGACAGATAAGCATGAATTTGAATTTCTGTCTTCTGGACTTTTGTTGAATAGGAAAGGTGAAAGTAGAAATCATGTTCTGGGAATTCAGTCTGTAAATTATTGTTTCCTTGCACGTTTTAATTTCCCATAGTGATCTGCTTGTGCCTAAATATTGGATATATATATATATATATATATATATATATATATATATATATATATATATATATATATATATATATATATATATATCAGCTGCCAAATTTTGATGAGATTGATTTTAGTTATAGTTTACAAGAATCGTGTGATTTTGGGCTCCCTCTGGATTGGCATCTTGAAGTTCAAGAGTTTGAATTTGCAGTAGGGTGTAAGGACATTTTGTTTATCAGAATTTTTATAATACACTTCATGCAATCATGATAGACTTGTTATGATATATTTAAAATAAATGGGCATTTCCTGCTACTTTAAGAAGACTTATCAAGTAAGGATTATATGGAAATGGTATGTGTGATGGTAGAACTCAAGATGAAAAAGAAACATGGTATAGGATTGGAACCTGAGGAGGACAAGTTGCAGGAGTAGAGTTATCATGTGAGGTGGCGGAGTGCTGATGCCCCGGTTTGGAGATGTGAGATGCTTGCGGTGGTGCGCGGAAACATGTGAATGGGTAGACCTAGGAAGAATTGGAACGAGGTGATTAGACAGGGCTTAAGACTTCTGGCCTTGCTGAGGGTAGACCTAGTGAGATGCATACACACTGACCAAGTGTGTAAAATATGCATACACACACCCTCCCCAAAAGGCTCAAACCTGCAACTTGCTTGATCTTTTTTTCTATTGTTTTTCTTTAGAAGTCAATAAACAGAGTCTTGATCCATATGGGTTTCGTTTGGGAGCCTTTAGAAGCTTATTTCTTGTTATTCTGCACAGCAGAAGAATAAGTAACTTTGGGCTTACTTATTTGATGGAAATGAATGTTAAAGCTTTGTCATTAAGAAAACTTGTCAGGTTCAGTCATTTGAGGCATAATAATCTTCATCAAACGAAACAAAATTTGGAAAAAATTGTAGTTTTCTTTTTCCAATATTTTTTTCATGCAGGATAGTAGAGAAGAAGTTATTCAAGCATGGTATATGGATGATAGCAATGAAGACCAGAGGCTTCCCCATCACCGTGAGCCAAAGCAGTTTGTCTCCTTTGACAAACTTGATGGTATGTCTCATTTGACTTTATTCTCTCGGGTTCACATTTCATTGTTCATTCTATGCAAACAATATTTTTTATTTATTACCATATATTTCTTAGAGCTTGGAGTGCTCAGCTGGAGGCTAGATGCAGATAACTATGAAAAGGATGAGGTGCTGAAGGAAATCCGTGAATCCCGAGGATATTCATACATGGTATGTGAGATTAAGAAAGGTGTTGAATTTTATCCTTTTCCTTGTTGTCTACTCTAGAATGTTGGTTGTAATCCATAGTACTTCTTCAGGACTTCTGTGAGGTGTGCCCTGAAAAGTTGCCCAATTATGAAGAGAAGATAAAAAATTTCTTCGAAGAGCATCTTCACACGGATGAGGAAATTCGATACTGTGTTGCTGGGAGTGGTAGGTTTTGAGTTATTTAGGCCTCAAACAAGTAGCGTTTCCCTTGTTTGGCTGAAATGAACGTTAACAAACATTTTTCCTTTGAGAGAATTCAGACTTATAATTTCGTAACAAATGGGCTCTTACACTACGTTTGGTTTAAGGAATTTGAGAGGGAAAAGTAAAGAAAATGAGGGGGTAACCAAATTTTCT